CTGATAGTATAGACTTGGGATAGCATGTACCACCAAATTTATATTACTCAGAAAGAGTAAGTCTTGCTTCTGGACCTCCACTGTTGAGTGGAGAATATTGTATGTATGTATGCATGCATGTGTATACATATGTGTTGTCTATATTAAATAAAATATAAAACTTATTTATTTAATGCATATAGGTGTTTTGCCTGCATGGATGTGTGTGCACTACATGTGTGCCTGTTTCCCATGGAGACCAGAAGAGAGTGTCAGATCCCCTGGAACTGAAGTTATAGATGGTTGCTAGCTGCCATGTGGGTGCTGGGACTTGAACTCTGGTCCTCTGCAAGAGCAGCCAGTGCTCTTAACCACTAAGCCATCACTCCAGCCCTAGAAAATACCTCTTGACTTTCACATTTTTACTCATTCATTGGGTAGCAGGCATCTACCATGGTGCACCCGTGGAGATCAGAGGGCAACTTGTGAGAGTCCTTGCTTTCTTTTCACAGTGTGGGTCCCAGTGAACTCAGGTGGTCAGGCCGGGCAGCAGGTGCTTTTACCCGCTGAACCATCTCTCTGGCCCCAACATTGAGAATACCTCTAAGGCCGAACATCTCTGAGGAATGACTTTGCTCCCACGGGATGGGACTTTTTCAAATTGTCAATGGTCCCCCCCGACTCTCTCTCCCAACTTTTCTTCTTTGTGATGAAGACGCAGAGATAAAAAGCCCATAGCCGGGCGGTGGTGGCGCACGCCTTTAATCCCAGCACTTGGGAGGCAGAGGCAGGCGGATCTCTGGGAGTTCGAGGCCAGCCTGGTCTACAAGAGCTAGTTCCAGGACAGGCTCCAAAGCTACAGAGAAACCCTGTCTTGAAAAACAAAACAAAACAAAACAAAACAAAACACCCAAGCCCATAATGTGAATGAACGATTGAGCAAATTTGTTTTCAAAGGACCAGCAAGATGGTGGAACATGTGCCTTTCGCAGGGTCCTGGTTCTGTTTCAGCACTGTAAAAGAGAAACAAAACAAACAAACAGCCAGGACTGAGGAAAGGGTTCATTAGGTAAGGTACCTGCTTGCAAGCATGAGGACCTGAGTTCGGATCCCCAGCATCTACAGAAGCAGGCTAGTGCAGCATATTGTGTAGGGAGCGAAGGCAGGCAGATATCGGAGGTTCATTAGTCAAAGACATGCTTCAGATGCAGAGAGGGACTGTCTCGATTAAGAAGGTGCAGTGCTGGTGAGATGGCTCAGGGTAAAAGGGCTAGCTGCTAGCCCGACGACCTGTGTTTGACCCTTGGGACCCACATGGTAGGAGAGAAAGAACTTCTGAAAGTTGCCCTCTGCCCTCCATGCCCATGCCATGGCACATGCACACACACGTACACACACGAGAGCACAGACATGTACATACAAGCACACACACACAAGAGCACAAACATGCACATACAAGCACGTGCACACACATACGCGCACACACAAGAGCACAAACATGTACATACAAGCACACACACACACATACACACACACAAGAGCACAAACATGCACACACACAAGCACACAGACAGTAATGAAAAATAAAGTGAAGAGTGGTTGAGGAAGACACCTACGGTAACCTCTGGTCTCCACAGGCAGCCTTACACACAGGCTCACACATCCACAGTAACAAGTACACTCACCATCCCACCTCAGTGAATAAATGAATGAATGGCCCCAGATGAAGACATAGGACACTGTTCGCTATCGGCAACTGTGGAGTCTCCTCCTACATTCAACCTTTCAAAGTAGCCGTCTGGGTTTTGCAGAATTGCTCTCCACCAGACGTGTGGCATATGCCTGTCATCTCGGCATTTGGGAGGTGGTGGTAGAATAGAGTCAGGATTATCTGCTGTATAGCCAGCCAGTTTGAGGCTAGCATGGGGTACATGATACCCTGTCACACAGAATCCCTTTTAATTTTACATGTGCACTAGAGTTCTGGTGCCCTGAACTGGAATTACAGGAGACTGTGAGCTGCTTGATGTGGGTGCTGGAAACTGAACTTGGGTCCTTATGTACTTTTAACCTTTGAACCATCTCTCCAGCACCACACACACACACACACACACACACACACAATTTTTTTTTTTATGTTTGGGAGCCTGTGAGAGGGTGTGGTGGTTAAGAAGATGGCCCCATAGGGAGTGGCACTACGAAGAGGTATGGCCTATTGGAGGAAGAGTGTCACTGTGGAGAAAGGCAGGCTCTGAGGTCTCATATATGCTCAAACCACACCCAATGAGACAGACCACTTCCGGTTGCCTGTGGGTCGAGGTGTGGGCCTCTCAGTCCCTTCTCCAGCACCATGTCTGCCTGCTTGCTGACAGTGGACTAAACCTCTGAAAATGTAAACCACCCCAATTAACTGTTTTCCTTAGAAGAGTTGCTGTGGTCAAGCCGGGCGGTGGTGGCGCACGCCTTTAGCCTCAGCACTCGGGAGGCAGAGGCAGTCGGATCTCTATGAGTTCGAGGCCAACCTGGTCTACAGAGCAAATTACAGGACAGGCTCCAAAGTTACAGCAAGAAATCCTTTCTCAAAAAACTAGTAAGTAAGTTAATTAATTAATTAATTAAATTAAAAGAAAGAAAAAGAAAAAAGAGTTGAAGAGTTGCTATAGTCATGATATCACAACAATAGAAATGCTTACAGGTGACATGTGCCAACGTGGCCAGCCATCATAGGCTTTATAATCTAGTGTGGGGCAATAGGAGGGAGTCGAGAAGAAACGGGCACTTTAGAGCTAGGTGGCTCAAGCTGGGCACTTGGCTGTGACCGTGGACAGTGCAAAGATGCAAAGCAAGGCTTTAAGTGCAGACGATGTGTGCCATTTTCCTGCCCTCTGGCTGTGGCACGGTCAAGGAGTGGAGCGAGGCGAGTGGAAGACAGTGCTGGTTCTGTGGCTTATCCAGGCCCTGTGTGTTTAATCCCAGCATTTGGAGGGCCGAGGCAGGGGTATTCCTATGAATTCAAAACCAGTCTGGTCTACAAGGTGAGTTCCAGGCCAACCAAGGCTGTTACATAGTGAGACCCTGTCTCAAAAATAAATGAAAGTAAACAGGTAAAGTCTAGGATGGCTGGGAGTGTCTGTTTCATCCACTGTAGTGTTCTCACAGGCTTTATATTGTCTAGCACAGAAGGATCACTTGTGCAGAGATGCGACTGAGAATGTGAGAGCCACTCCTCCTTCCCTCCCTTCTTGAACTCATTCTTCTCCTGTTCCTATCTACGTACCCCCAACAAGTCCCCCTTCAAGGACCAAGCTAATGCTGTCTTTGCAGAGAAGTCCTTGGGGCCATCCTATGTAAGATGGTGAGCTCTTGCTAGTCACTGTGTGTGTGTGTGTGTGTGTGTGTGTGTGTGTGAGAGAGAGAGAGAGAGAGAGAGAGAGAGAGAGAGAGAGAGAGCGCACTGGGACTGAATTTAGGATGTTGCACATGATACTAGACAAGTGCTCTACCACTGAGCCACACCCCAGCCTCTCACTGGGGGATTCTAGGCAGGGGCTCTACCACTGAGCCACACCCCAGTCCCTCACTGGGGGATTCTAGGCAGGGGCTCTACCACTGAGCCTCACCCCAGCCCCTCACTGGGGGATTCTAGGCAGGGGCTCTACCACTGAACCACACCCCAGCCCCTCACTGGGGGATTCTAGGCAGGGGCTCTACCACTGAGCCACACCCCAGCCTCTCATGGGGGATTCTAGGCATTCTACCTTTGAACTTCATTCCAAGCTCTTTTCAATCTTTTCTCCCAAATCGTTAATGTGTGTGTGTGTGCAGAGTGTACACTTATGTAAGGGAATGTTGTGTGTGTGTGTGAAAGCCAGAGGACAACCTTGGGTGTCATCCATACCAATGAGTCCACGACCTTTCAGATCGGATCTCTCGTGGGGCTGCACCCCATGGATAAAGCTAGACTGAGCAGTAACCCCAGGGATCCTAGTTCTGTTTCTCTAGCTTCATCATGCCTGGAAGTTTTGTGTGAGTTCTGGAGATTAAATTCAGGCCCTCATGATGCTGAGTTAAGTATTTTATCAACTGACCTATCTCCCCAGCACAATCTTTTACTGCTGAGGCGGGTTCTAAGTCATCCAGGCTGGCACTGGACTTTAACTTCCTAAGTAACAGGCCTGCGCCTGAAGCAGCTGCCACCACGTTCTCAGCACTCTTCCTTCCTGCTGCAAAGGTGTTCACTACCACATGAAATTACCATTTTCTCTTCCCACACTGTAGAATATAGTAAGCTCAAGAAGGGCCAGTATTTTCTGCTTTGTTCAATGTATGATCTAGAGTTTAGAACGCTTAGTATGGCCGTGCAGAAAACAGAATCTAAGGCCTGGAACCTCTTCAAGATATGTCTTGGTTTCCAAGGGATGTGTCCTGTGGGGGTGTTTCTTGATTTCCAGATGGGCTGCTTAGGTGAGTTGTAAACCGTTTCTCATCTGAAGGGCTTAAAAAGGATTGGAGTGCCCAAATCCTCTTGCGAGGGTTTGAGGATCTGGGCACTTACAGGAGGAAAGCGTCATTCCCCCACTCTGCCGTCTTTAACTGCCTATGCTCAGGAGAGGGGTGGGAGCTTGGGAGTCTTTACACCCTCCCCCAACCCTACCAAACATTAACTGCTCAAAAACCCACAGGAAGGGGCAGTGACTCTTGACTCTGCTCCTCAAAGACTGGTATCTAGTGAACCTGTTTTCTTCTAAAGGTTAAAAAAAAAAAGGAGGTGCACACGTATGTGGGTTTGTGCATGTGAGTGCAATGCTCAAGGAGGCCACAAGAGGACACTGGAGCTCGGTTACAGGTGGTTAGGAGCGGCCTGATGTGGGCGCTAAGAACTGAACTCTGGTCCCAACAGCATGCATTTTAACTGTTGCACCATCTCCTTAGGTCCTAGGGCACATAGTGTAAGTCCAAGAGGGAGAGAGCCCCACCTCCCTGAGACCCAGAGTCAGCAAACAAGACAGCAGTGACGGACAGAATGAGGTTTATTGGAGTCCCAGAGACACTGGGGAGACCAGGGGGTGAGGTTGAGGCTCACGGGGGAGAAACCCCTAGCCAAGTCCCCCTTTCCTCTTGGGGTTAGAACACAGAGACAAGGTGGTAGTGACGGAAAGACTGACAGGTACTACAGTTGAGGGGGAGGGAAACCCCAATGTCTACCACCTCTACCAGGTCACAGGATTGGGACGACCTTGGACAGAGGACTGTGCTCTAGAAAATAGGAAATGTCTGCCCTATTACTCTAAGGAGAGAGGAGTCAGGCCACAGCCTGCACCAGCCCATTGCAAGTGCACAGGAGTATGTGTATCTGGGTCAATCCAACCTACAGGGCAGGGAGACTTTGGGCCAGTCTAAGCTAGTGTTCGGATGGGGGACGATGAGTAGGGTCAGACCATTCTGCAGGAAGGGAGACCTAATCTGAGGAGGTTAACTGAAGGTGGGGGCATCTACCCTGGTCCTCTTTCAGCATAGGAAGCAAAATGGGGAAAGGCAGATTCTGGCTATACTCATTTTCTGGGGCTACCAGTGAGTGGCTGGTGGGTGTCATCTGGAGGGGATCCTGAAGATTCCAAGATGTTGCCCCCATCCCCCAGATAAAGGTCGTTGGGAATGATGGCTCTCAGGGTGGTAGGACCGTGAGGGTACCCACATGTGAACTGCTGAGAGGTGTTAGTGGAGACCCGTTTTTCATTCTCAGGTCTCAGTGGCGGAGGCCAGTTGATCTGAGCATGCCCACATTCCAGGGGTCTCAAAGTCAAGAGTCTCTCTGTAGATTTCAGTCCCTAACAATTATGTCCTTGGACCCCTTTGCTGAAGGATGCTTCACTGTGGTCCTGTGTGAGTTCTGAGTGGCACCATTTTTCCAGGCAAGGGCCTCATCTTATTATGATCTGGCTCTGGACTTGTAGAGGTCGGGGTGGCCTGGCTATTCAGTCCATACCCCTGTGCAGCTTCAGGTGCCTAGAGAGATTGCTGAGTGTGATAAAGCCCTTGCCACAGATGTGGCAGGGAAAGGGCCGCTCTGTGCCATGCAGCAGTCGGTGGCGCTTGAGGTAGCACTCGTGGCGGAAGAACTTGCCACACTCTAGGCACGGGAACGGCTTCTCCCCTGTGTGGACCAGAACATGCCGTTCCAGGTCGCGAGGCGAACGGAACAACTTCTCGCATTCTGAACAGCCAAAGATTTTCTTGCCACGGCTGGAGGAGCCGGGCCCCGGCCCTCCAGTCGCCTGCTCGCCCTCGCCATCAGGGGCCACCTCCCCACTGCCCTCACCGTGGCTGGCACGCCGATGCTCCTCCAGAGCGGCCAGAGCTGCATACAATGCTCCGCAGTGGCCGCAGCCATAGGTGGCTGGGCCCGAGTGGGCTTCTAGGTGACTGGCCAAGGCTGGGGCAGACGCGAAGAAGGTCCCGCAGTCGCACTGGTACAGTGTGTCTTCCGAGGATGCCTCGGCTGCTGCAGCCGGAGCCTGAGCATTCTCTGCACCTTCACCCTCAGGGAGCAGTGCCTCCAGCTTGGGGATGCCTGCTCCGGTTGGGCTTAGAAGTAGCCCGGCGTCCCAGGTCGGCGGGGCATCCCCTACCTCCACTGCATCGCCATCTCCTGCCACCTCTGGACCCCCACCCGAGGACCAGACCTGCGTTGGGGGTGCATTGCTCCCCTGCAGGTCGTGAGTAAGCTTATGGCGTTCCAGCAGCGCGGGCGCGTTGAAGTCGCGCTCGCAGCGTGGGCACTTGAATGGCTTCACATCAGTGTGCGCGGCCCAGTGGGCAGCTAGCTCCCGGCCGTGGTCAAAGCGACGGGCACAGGCGCCACACGCAAACGGGGGCAGCGAGGCAGCTGCAGCAGCTGCGGCCTCTGCTAGTCCCCAGCTGGTTGCTCCTGCTCCCTCCAAGCCCTCTCCTCCGCCAGCCCCTCCACCTCCACAAACCGTACAGGGACCCACGTTGCAACACACTGAGCAGGGGGAGTTCAGGGGAGGCAGGCCTGGGCTTGGCTGCAGGGGAGACGGAAGGACGCCCCGGTGCTGCCGCTTGAGGTGGCGGCCCAGGCTGGAGCGAGAGGAGAAGCGGAGCTCGCAGACCAAACAGCAGTAGGGCTTCTCGCCAGTGTGGACGACCTGGGAGCAAGAGCAAAGAGGCAGGGTTGAGGATCGGGGTCCTGCAACAGATTCCTAGGAGACGGGACCCAAGTTCTCGGCCTCTGCTCATGGGACATGATCTAGCTTTCACCGCGCTCCTCTGTTAGGTTGCTAGACAGGCATACGCAGGGGTGGAGGCCACTAAGAAGAGACCCCCACCTCTTTGTGATGGGAAGCTTCACAAGGACCCTTCATATAAAGTTCAGATATCATTATGAAGAAGTAGTAGGAGCTGGGCAATGGTGGTACACACCTTTAATCCCAGCACTTGGGAGGCAGAGGCAGGCGGATCTCTGTGGGTTCGAGGCCAGCCAGCCTGGTCTAGAGAGCGAGTTCCAGGACAGCTATGGCTGTTACACAGAGAAACCCTGTCTTGAAAAACAACAACAAAAAAACCAAAAATACAAAACAAAGATATTTAAGTTACGGAAATAACGGAGTTGGGCACCTTGGCACAAGCCTTTAATTCCAGTACTCAGGAGGCAGGAAACTGAGGCAGGCCAACCCTGTGAGAAGGAGGCCAGTCAGGTCTACACAGGGAAACCCTGTCACAGAGCAATCAACTGAACATCAACAAATAATGAAATAAAAACATTTTAAGGAAAGAACAGGAGCTAGAGAGATGGGTTAGCAGTTAAGAGCACTTGTTGCTTTTGCAGAGGCGCTGGGTTCATTTCCCAGCACCCACATGGCAGCTCACACCTGCCTGTAGCTCCAGGTCTAGGGGATCCATCGCTCTCTTATCTGCTGGAGCACCAGGAGCAAATGCAGTGCAGACACACATGCCAGCTAAACATGCATACAGATAATAAATAAATAAAACTTACAAAAGAAGAGGATCTAAATCTACTTTGAGCCCTGGGTGTAGATGCTACATTCTAAACTGCTTCAAACACTGCATACTACTGACTTTTCCAAAAGGTTAAAGCAATTGGCCCTGTCAATTATCTGGTCAGGAAACAGCTAAGGAGATGGGAGGAATGATTATCTCCTTAATGAGGTAATGTACTCACCCTCATCGTCCCCCCTCCCCCTTTTCCAAGACAGGTTTTCTCTGTGTAGCTTTGGAACCTGTCCTGGAACTTGCCCTGTAGTCCAGGCTGGCCTTGAACTCATAGAGATCTGTCTGCCTCTGCCTATGCTGGGATTAAAGCGTGCGCCACCACCTGGCTCTTTTCTGAGTTCTTAACTCAAAAAGTCTAACCTTTCCTTTTCTCCTTTCTTTTTGTTTATCTTTATTTTTTGGTTTTTCGAGACAGAGTTTCTCTGTAGTTTTGGAGCCTGTCCTGGCACTAACTATTGTAGGCCAGGCTGGCCTTGAACTCATAGAGATCCACCTGCCTCCACCACCTGAGTGCTGGGATTAAAGATGTGCATCACCACCGCCTGGCTTTGTTTTGGTTTTTCAAGACAGGGTTTCTCTGTGTAGCCTTAGCTATCCTGGAACTCAAGAGATCCACCTTAGTGTTGGGACTAAGGGTCTGTGAAACCACCGTCTGACTCTTTTCCTACTTTCTGTCTCTTCTTTGGATACCAGCCCAAATTTTCAGCATGCTTGTCCTGACACTCTGGACTTTTTCACTGTCTCTCAGAAGAGGCACTTCCCACGAGGCTGCTTGCAGACCTTCACTGATAAACCTGCCTTCTCTCCTGGACTAACTGAAAAGGTGCATCTTTCTATCCTCTTACAGCCTCTCCAGCCCCCAGCTCCACACAATGCTGCCTTTCCTATGATTTTTCTTTCAAATTCTAATAAAATAATTCCTAAGCTTTTAACTCTGCTTTTAAATTTTTTTTTGTCCAAGAGAGCAGGAATCCACAAAAGTAGACCCTAGCTCCCCAGTCACAGCCCTGCTACAGGCCAGCTCTGACCCAGTCCCTTACACTGATGGCCTCTGTACACACGGTTCCCTTTTCAACAGGCTCATCACAGAATACAGCTATGGCCAGGGCGCTAGGCATCCACAGCCTGAGTCCACCCATCTCTCTTCTCTGTGAACGCTCCACTTTTTCCCTTTGCAAAATGGCCCACTTCACAGTGCCCTCAACACCGTCTCAACTGTGTGGTTCCCCAACAACATATGTGTTAAGATACAACTGTTTTGTTTGTTTGTCGTCTATCTAGGAGAGCACCTGAGCCAGGGAACCAAGGCAGCTCCCGGGAGTGCAGCTCTTACTCTGGCCGCTGAAAGGGGCCTGGCAAGGCGTTAGAGTGCTAGGAAGTTAGGGTAACCGAATGTGGGGCTCCATTATGTGGGAAGTTAGGGTAACCGAATGTGGGCTCCATTATGTGGGAAGTTAGGGTAACCGAATGTGGGCTCCATTATGTGGGAAGTTAATATAACCGAATGTGGGCTCCATTATGTGGGAAGTTAATATAACCGAATGTGGGGCTCCATTATGTGGGAAGTTAGGGTAACCGAATGTGGGCTCCATTATGTAGGAAGTTAGGGTAACCGAATGTGGGCTCCATTATGTGGGAAGTTAGGGTAACCGAATGTGGGGCTCCATTATGTGGGAAGTTAATATAACCGAATGTGGGCTCCATTATGTAGGAAGTTAGGGTAACCGAATGTGGGCTCCATTATGTAGGAAGTTAGGGTAACCGAATGTGGGCTCCATTATGTAGGAAGTTAGGGTAACCGAATGTGGGCTCCATTATGTGGGAAGTTAGGGTAACCGAATGTGGGCTCCATTATGCAGCGTCCACCAGACCATCTCCATGACAGCATGGGGCTTTGTGGTAAAGCACCTACTTGGGGTTCACACATGTTCTGTAAACCCTCACCTGCGCTCTCTGAGGAAAGCCAAACTGATTTGCCACACTGAACTGGTGCGGCTATATTTTGGTCTTCTGTTGGGGCCCTTTCTGGGGTGAATGCATGAGTTTGTTCTCCCCAGGAGAAGCCAATGCCCGTGAGCACACGGAGGTCCTTCCCACCTCCCAGCGTTTGACCCTGCCACTGTTTCTGTCTACAGTGCTTTGCCCGGGTGGACTTCCCACACTTCAAAAGACTCAGGCAGACATCACTGTGCCCTCTTGTCTACAGTAACCCGCAGCACTCCCAATTCACTCCTACACATTAGTCCTTGTTTTGCTGTTTGTGACAGAATGTGTCCTATAGCCTAAGCTAGCCTCAAACTCTGTGTGTAGCTGAGGATGATTTGGAACTCCTGATCCTCCTGCCTCCACCTCCGGAGAACTGGAATTATAAGAACGCATCACATGCCCTGAATTTTTTTTTTTTTTTTTGTAATTTGCTTCCCAACTTCTCCCTTAGGGAACTACTTTCTTTACCCTCTATCTGGCTTCTGGTCATTTAAAGGAGTAAGTTTCCCGAAGGCCTTGTTGAGCTCCCTCCAAAGCCTGTGCTCTTAGAATAAAGGAGCTGGGTGTGCACGGAGAAACCTGCTTTCAAGATGGTAAGGGAAAGAACTGTAAACACAAGGCTGCAGATACTGGCAGGCAATAGAGGCTTCAGCAGTAGCGGGGGTGAAACAATTACATGGGGCAAACTTGCTCTGCAGGGTCATGCTTTGATTGGTTTTTGGCAGAAAGGAAAGCGAAATTTTCTACGATTAGGAAGCTATGATTAGGAGTGTACTCCCATCTCCTGCTGCCTTTCCCTGAGTGGAATGGAGCCCCAGATCTCAGCCCCGCGTGGCTCCCAGGACTCACCTGGTGGTGCAGCAGGCCAGTGGAGTCTCGGAATCCCTTAGGGCAGGCGGAGCATCGGTAGGGCCGCTCTCCGGTGTGTGAGCGCAGGTGGTTAGCTAAGTTGAAGCTATGCTTGAAGCCCTTGCCACAGCGAGGGCATGCGTGGGGCTTGAGCGCTGTATGCCGAGCAAAGTGGCGCCGCAGGTCCGATCGGTAACGGAAGCTCTTGCCACATTCGCTGCAGTGAAAGGGCACCCGAGGGGCAGCGGCAGATGGTGCTGGCCCTGGAGCAGCAATAGGGGCTGGAACCACAGGCAGCGAGGACTCATCCATGGTGGCAGGTCCAGGGTGGCTTGGGGCTTTCTCTGGAGTATATTAGAGACACAAAAGCAGGTAAAAATCACCTCCCCAATGGCCATCCCCTCCCTTAGCTCTCTGGGCTCAGAAACACTTGTCCTCTGGGAGACCCGCCCAATGCTAAGACCTGCCCACCACCAAGCCACACCCACTGCCCTTGAAATCTCTCTGTCTCGATCTCTCTCCCTCTCCAGACCCTCTTCCTTCTCTAATTTTCCTAGCCACTTCCATTTTACTCTAGGTTTCTATAGGTTCTCTCAATCCTCTCCAAGCCCCGCCCACTACAAATTAAGGCCCTCCTACTTTTGCCTAGGTCTGGGCCCCTCCCTCTGTTCCCTAAGCACCCAGTGTTCCTCGAAAGACTTCTTGCTTCTAACTCATCTCCGAAGACAAGCTGCTAGTGAGAACGGATTTGGGGCTGAGCACACTGCTCTCATACTTCTAGGGAGATCGCAGTAGCTCCTCTGCAGTCGGTCTGTAGCTTTGGATGAAGCCAACTGGAACTCTTAACCCATGAAATGGGTATACTGGTGCCTACGTCACACGGTGACGGTCTGAGCTAACGTGGTCAGTGTACTTCCCAAAGCCACTGCTGCACAGCAAAGGATTAACTGAGCAGTTTGGATATTTAAGCTCCTCTCAGTTCCTTTATTCCCATCTGCTTCCTTAAAGGTTAACTTGACTTTTCTAAGTTAGATTTTTCGCTGAGACCTGCCTCCAAATCCCACCCAACTTTCCCTCTAAATAAGTCACCTTTTTCTTTTCTTTTCCTGGAACTCACTCTGTAGACTAGGCTGTCCTCGAACTCACAGAGATACATCTGCCCCTGCCTCCGGAGTGCTGGGATTAACGATGTGCGCCATCACTGCCCGGCACATTTTTCTATCACCTCCGTCCTTAGCCTGCTTTCACCTTCATGATAAAGACCTGATAGTTCCACTAATACTCTCAAAATTGCATATTTCCATCGGGCACCCTTGCCATGGCAACTTTTTCTCTAAGCCACACCTTAGGCAAACTCCACATCATATTCTGGGCCTCTCTTGTCTTCCTGCACCCCATTTTTCCACTAACCTTAACAAGTTTCTTCAATTTTTCAACCTAGGCCCCTTCACCCACGGTATATAATCCAAGCCTCTTTACCAGGCCCTACCCTTTGCATAAACCTCACCCATTTCCTAACCAGTCTCTACCCTTCCACAAAATCCCTCCCTCCCTACTCTAGGCCCCGCCCCAACAAGCTCCTCCCTCTCTCCTGCCCCGCCCCAACTGCCATAAGCTCCGCCTCCTCCTCCTGCACCCCACTGTGTGTGGTGCTGCGGGGGCTCCCCCACCCTGCTCGATCTTTTGAACCAGGCCCGGAAAACTAGCCCTTTGTACCCCTTTCCCTGTCCCTAGAAGGTGCGGCCCCGGGCGCCCGGGGCGGGGGCAGGGTCAGGCGGCCTGGGACTAGGCGAGACCACCTTGCTTTTGCGTTGCGGAGGTCCTGGAGACCAGGCAGGACCCCGGGAGGCCGGGAAAGTCTGTCGGCTTTCCTCTTTAATTACTTACACCTCCCTCTGGGCGCCGACATTTTGGGCAGCGGGGTCAGCGTCACTTCCACCTGAGGGGCCCCTCGACTTCCGCCTCGGCTCCCTTCTCCCGCCCCCCGAAGCGGGCCCCCCCCCCCCCGTCCTCTTTTCTCCCTCCCCCTGGCTCCCCTTTCCCGCCCCCACCCGGCCCTTCTACATTCCCTTCCTTTTCCCAGCCCAGGAGGTCAAAGAAGCTAGGCTGGTGCCATCTTGGTTGAGGGCAAAGGGAGGGGCGGGGCTTAAGTTACCCCGGCGCGCTATAAACTAAGGGCGACGCGCCGCTTCTTAGTCCACGGCGATTATATTTAAGAGTTTACATAGATGGGCGCAGATATGATTTCCTTCTCCTAGCCTTGGACTTCTGCTGGGCAGGTTGTCGAATTGCATTCGGAAGGAAAAAAAGCCAAGCGGGCGAACTAATACGGAGTTAGGAAACACCAAGCACCATTTTACTGCTTTAACACCATGGGGCTTTGAAGCTATCGGGCGCCATGTTAATTAGGGGCACTTAGCAGCCATTTCCCGCGTCTCATCTATCCGGTACCTGTATTTGATTGGGTCACCGGGTTGGAGTGCTTTGTGGGAGGAAAGGCATTTGGAGGTGGTCGGGGATTTTCGTGCGTTGGTTCTCACAGGGACGAGGAAGGCGACTGGTGCGCAGGCGCGTCTGGGCCTTGGGACCCAGCGCGTCCCCTTTGTTCCCCGCGGGCGCGGGCGGCGGGGAGGGCGGGGCCACCGGCGTCCGTACCGAGGGGCGGGGCCCGGCTCGCGCTCCGCCGCCCCCGCCCCGCCGCCGCCTAGGGGCAGGGCCCCCCTCTCCCCCGCCCCTTCCCACGCTTCGGCCCGTCGCCCCCGGCGCGCGCGCGCATACACACGCGAGCCCAGGCAGCATGCAAATGAGGTACCTAGAGGCGGGGGGCCCGGGTGGGGGGGGAGGGGGAAGGGGTGGTCCCGAGTGCGCGTGCCCGAGCGCGCCCCCGGCACCTGTTCCCTGCTTCTGTGCTCTCTCCTGCGCGCGCCGACCTCGCGCCCCGCCGAGCGGTCCGGGCTCGCCAGCGCAGACCCCCTCCTTGCAGCCCCTGCCGCCAATGTCCCCGCGCCGCTTATTGGCCACCGCACCCTGAGGGCCCGCCCCGCTTGCGGGCTGGGCCACTCGGGGCTGACAGGCAGACGTCCCACCAGACTGTGGGTGGGGGAGGGTCGAGGGATCACTCACTTCCTAGGTATGTTCCAGAAATTCAGTTTCCTGTCCTGGCTACAGCATGGTGCAAACCTTGTGGTCCTGGAAAGGTTGCCCCCGTGTGGACCTCGTGCTGTGTGCATATGAAAAGGGGGTGCAAGGCTTGGGGTTGTAACTCAGGCCTAGTATGCGTGAGGCCCCTGAGTTGGATAAACAGCACCACACATAAAGAAAACTTAAAAACCAACCAGACAACAGAACTGTTTAAAGAGGAATGCAGGGGCCCCAGCAGCATGTGCTACTAGCTGCACCTGTAGCGGTCTTGTCCTCCAAGTACACTCCAGTTCTATGGTCCCGAGATCTGGGCTCTGGGAAAGGACGGTGGTGGTTTTTCAGGTGCTTTCTGTATTCCAGGCAGATGTTCTAGGGACATTTTTGAAACTTCCTTATTTCAGTCGATTCTCCCCCACAACCTCGGTATATTGACTTTACAGAGAAGGAAACTGACTTGCAGCTAATTATTGATAGAATGGGATCCAAACCCATGACTGGGAGACCTCAAGTATGACACACACACACACACACACACACACACACACACACACACACACAGAGTCTTCCTAGGTCTTTCTCATTTCCTGGACCACCAAGGTCAGTAAAACTGATTTGACTTAATTGGCACTTACTGGCAGAGAGAACTTTAACTCACTTGGCTTTCTGTGCCTTAGTTTCCCTGTTTGCAAAACAGAAAATGTGTTTCCTCGAAAGGTTGTTGCCGGTTTTTGTGTATCATGCTCACTGCATGTCTGGGTTAGTAAATTAACAACAACAATAACAACAAGAGAAAGAAAGAAAAGCAAACAAACAAACAAACCCTGAGTTCCATCTTGCAAAGGACATAAATGAGCCCAGAGAAGTTAGGATCTTGTATAATGCCACACAGAAAGGAAGGGACAGATTCAGCATTTCATTTCTGATTATCTGACTCCAAAGTCCAGACATTTAGCACCTTGGATACTCGTCCTTCACACATTAGCAGATTTGCCTAGCACCTGCCCCTTTCTAGACCTCCTCCCCATCTCTGTGTGGAAGAGGGCTTTTGGAGGCCTTTGTGGCCCAGAGTTCCATTCTCAGCTAGATTTTTTTCTTTTTACTCATTTTGACCTTAAAGACTAAAGTAGTTACTGATCTGTTGCTGTGATGAAAATCCGTCACTACGGCAACTTATAAGAAGGCATTTACTGCAGGGCGGTGGTGGCGCACGCCTTTAATTCCAGCACTCGGGAGGCAGAGGCAGGCGGATCTCTGTGAGTTCGAGGCCAGCCTGGTCTACAAGAGCTAGTTCCAGGACAGGAACCAAAAAGCAACGGAGAAACCCTGTCTCGAAAAAAAAAAAAAAAGAAGGCATTTGCTGTGCAGTTGTGGTGCACACCTTTAATCCCAGCACTCAGGGAGGCAGAGGCAAGCGGATCTCTGTGAGTTCAGGGCCAGCCTGGTCTACAGGAGCTGGTTCCAGGATAGCCAGAGATACACAGAGAAACCCTGCCTCAAACAAAACAAAAACCAATCCCCCCCACAAAAAAACAGCATTTAGTGGGGCTTGCTTACATTTTCAGAGGGTGAGTCCACAATTATCTTGGTCAGGAGCCTGGGGGCCAACAGGCTGACCTGCTGGAACAGTAGCTAAGAGCTCATGTCCAATCCATAAGTTTCAGGTAGAGGGAGACTGGCCTGGTGTAGGATTTGGAAATCTCAAAGCTCACTCCTGGTGAAACACCTCTTCCCACAAGGCAGCACCTACTCCATCAAGGGCACACTGTAGTCCGACTTTCCCTCGGGCCACCAGCTTACAAATAACAACGTAGAGTCTTATTGTTAATTATGAAAGCTTAGCCTTAGCATAGACTTTTTCAACTAGCTCTTATACCTTAAACGAGCCTGTTTCTGCTAATCTACGTTCTGCCATGTGGCTTGGTTACTGCTCCTCTGTACCATATGTCCAGCTTCTTCAGTGTCTGGTAGGCAACTCCTGCCAGGCCAGATTCTAACCCTGAGTTCCTTCCTACCCACAAGTCCCGCCTAACCTCTCCAGCCTAGCTATCGGCCGTTAGACCAGTCGCCGCAATACATCTTCACTCAGTGTACAAATATCCCACAACACTACACCTCCTAATCCTTCCCAAAGAGTTCCCCTGATGGAGCCAGACATTCAAACCTAGCCTGTGTGGAGCGGGATCATTCTCAAACTGCCATGAAAGAATGCTAGAGAGTCATGGGATACACTTCGGAGGAGGGCAGTCAATGTGTCTTATCAACTTGTACAGAATTGTCTTCTTATATAGGTCTCCAAAGACTTAGGAGGGATAGATGAATTATTGGGGTACATGGGGGCTTAGACCCTCACCACACTGACGCCGCCCCCTCTCTTCTCTTAGCCGGCTCCAGTACCCAGACTCAAGCTCCCCACTGCTCAATGGACAACCCCAGCTCAGACCCGTTGCCTTCAACTTTGTCTGGGGAGGAAGAAAAACCTCTGGCCTTACTTCCTCCTGTTCCCCGGGGCCGCCGAGGCCGGCCACCAGGGGGAGCCACCACCTCCAATCGGACTCTCAAGTCCTCCCTCCCTCGAAAGCGGGGCCGCCCCCCCAAATCAGTGCAGGAAGCCCCGTTGGCAGCACCAGTGGACGGCGGTGGCAGCAACGATCTTCTGTTGATCGATGATCAGGGTGTTCCTTACACAGTTCCGGAAGGATCAGCAGCAGATGGGCCCCAGGGCTCTGGCTCCAAGAGGGCTCCACACTTCTGTCCTGTGTGCCTGAGAGCCTTCCCCTACCTCTCCGACCTGGAGCGCCACAGCATCTCGCACTCAGAGTTGAAGCCACACGTGTGCAAAGATTGCGGCAAGACCTTCAAGCGGTCCAGCCACTTGCGGCGTCATTGCAACATCCATGCCGGCCATCGGCCCTTCCGTTGTGTGCTCTGCCCTCGTCGCTTCCGCGAGGCTGGGGAGCTCGCACATCACCACCGCATCCACTCTGGCGAGCGTCCATATCAGTGTCCCTCATGCAGGGTGCGCTTCACCGAAGCCAATACTCTTCGGCGCCATTACAAACGCAAACACCCAGAGCTTGTGGGGATGCCCGTGCGCCTGTGCCCCCCAAACCCAAGACCCCAACCGCTGTGGGATGATGATGAGGGTGTGCCTGTTCCAGAAAGGGTGCAGGAAGAGAGTCCTGAAGGAAAGACGCCTGCTTGGCCTGTATCCTCCGCCACTTCTCCCCTGTCTGGGTTTACAGCAGGGAGTTCTGCTGGTGCTGGGCAAGGAGGCCAAGACACCCTTATTTCTAGTGATATTCCCGTCACGGAAGGGGGTCGAAAGCAGGGACCTAAACCGCTGGGTCCTGATGCCATCTAGCACCTTCCTTCGGACTGACAGGCTCTGGGAGGCATGGGCTGTGGAAATAAATCCCTGCCTACTGACTTCCAGTGTGTGTTCAGTCATGGTGCCTGTCCCTTTCAATGTTCCTCTGTTACCTTCCCTGACTGTGGTGTGTGTGATTGGAGAGAAACCATTTCACATATCTCCTTAGCATGGTGCCAAAGAACCAATGGCTTGGAACAAGCCTTGGCCCAAGCTCATCTCCATCAGACAAGAACTGTAAAACATTTAACCCACTATGCAAACATGACGCTGGGTCCCTCCATCCTAGCTGAGTCCCCAGAAATTCTACCTAGGGCACTCTTTGCTCCAACTTCTTTTCCAGAGGACTTGCTATTCGGAAGAAAAAAACTTAAGTTGAGGGCTTGCAGTATAACTCGGTGGTAATGTGCTTTCAATGCACAAGGCCCTGGGTGGAGTGAGAGGCCAGCTCCAGGGTGTGGGGTGAGGAGGGTGAACAGAACCGAACATTTCCATAGGGTTTAGAGAAAAGGATGTGAGCTCGAGGGGAGGGTGGGACTTAAGACGAGGTACAAAACCTGGGCAATAAAAACTAGGTCGCAGTTTAGGAAAGGAGGCAAAAAATTGGGCTGAGGATCAAAGAACTTTAAGGCTTGGCTGGCAGAAAGCAAGTTAAAGGGGATGAATGGCATTTAACTGAAAGGTGGGGCTAAAAGAAGTCTTTTTTTTTTTTTTCCCGAGACAGGGTTTCTCTGTGGCTTTGGAGCCTGTCCTGGAACTAGCTCTGTAAAAAAATGAAGTAGAGTTCAGATTGTTGATTTTAAAGATCTTTTAATATAGGCGTACAAAGCAATTAAGGCACCCCTGCGAACATTCATAGGGGCATCTCAAAAATCAATTCCATAGAAGTACTTTCCAAAGTGCGGTATTAACCATTTGGAGAGGGTGCTTAGGGATGGACATTATTGCTATTCAGGCCATGGAGAGGGAAGAAAAATAGAATAAAATTAGGTTCAGCTGTTCATAGCGGGACTAAGTTAAGAGTAGTGCATCCCCCTTCAATCCTAGCACTCAGAAGGCAGAAATGGACGAATCTCTGAGTTCGAGGCCAGCCTGGTCTACAGAGAGAGTTCCAGGACAGCCAGGGCTATACAGAGAAACCCTGTCTTGAAAAACCAAAACAAACAAAAAGTCGTGCATCCAAAGTGTCGAATCTCTGAAACCCACCCCAAAGCTTTCTATTCAGTAAGTCTGGGTTAAGGAGCATCACGTTGATTGATGCCAATGGTTGAGAATAACTGACTTAAAGGAACGCTTTCAAAGTGCAAAGCCGAACTACAAGCATACAAGTTATTAGAGAGCCAGCCCCACAATCTCAGAGTTCCCGAAAGCTCTGACAGGATTGCTGCAAATTTGAGGCCAGCCACTTGGAGCCACAGCGTGAGACCACGTCTGAAAAGAAGAAATTAAAAAGTAAAAAAGTTATGTCTCTTAAATGCGAGGGGCGGTGCATAGCTTTTTTTATAAGAGACAGGATTTAAAAGGGGGCGTGATCTGTGGGTGTGGCCTGGGTGGGAGGGTGGAATTCCAAAAGTAGGGGTTTAGAGAGAAGACTAGAACAAACTAATTGGAGGTGCAGCAAAAGGAATCGAACCAACCTATAACAAGACGTTCGGAAATGGGCGGGGCCCAGCCTAGGGGGCGGAGCTCAAGCGTGAGACCCGAGCCCCAGGGTGTGTCCTAGCCGGATGCCTAGAGTCCGTGGGTGGTGTGAGCGCAGGCGCAGCAGGCTCCGTTCGCCCACCGGAAGCAGCCTAAGCTGTCCCCCCCCACCCCCCTTCCATGTCGTGAGACACTGTGCCGGCGTAATTTCCCTTCCCCGTTCCCGGGCCGCCATCCTCCACGCCGGCGCTTTGGGGGAACCTGCGCGACTTCCGCTTCCGGGCAGGAGGCGCGGGGCTGGTGGGGAGTGGGGGGGAAGGGGCGGCACTTCCGGTTGGGCCCTCGGGTCTCCCCGGAGCGGCGGCACCTCCTCCGCCTCCTCAGCCTCCTCCCGGCGGAGACCCCAGCGCCGGTGAGTGACGGGGTGCGCGGCCCGGGGACCCGGGTTCCTCGGGGGCGGAGGGGCCTCTTCCTGGCCTGCCGCAATCCCCAGGACGCACCCCCCCCAGAACGTCAGTGCTTCACTGCCGGGCCCGAGGCAGGGGATCCCCAATCACTAGTCCCCCACAAGATCACTTCAGATATACCCCCCATGGACGCCCCCCTCACCGTGGGCTGGCTACCAACGCGTTTTCATTCGTAACGAACCTCTCAAGAGCCAGGGCCCCCCACGGATCCTTTCCCTACAGCCTCTTCAGCTTCCTCCACGAGACCCTCCCCATGCCATCAGCATTGCTACGCTTGCAGGGCAGCTGCCCATGAGCCCTCGGTCCCTATCTCCTGTATGATTGCCTCCAGGGGGTGTTGCATTAGCACTTTGTGACAAGAGTTGCCCCCCACCGTGTCTGACCACACACAACCCATCCCCAATGCCTTCTTTGTGGGTGCAAAAATATTTTCTATTCTGGCCTATGCCAAGATTGCTTTTTAAAAACCCCTTCCTGCAACCCCATCAAAAAGACCCTTCAGTGGCACAGCTCCTTCCAGAGTCCTCCCCCCCCCCCCCCCCCCCGTTAGGGAGAGACATCTGCCTGCTTAGCATCAGGTTCTCATGAAACACTCCCGCCCCACTTCCCTCCCTCCCCTCATCCTGGCCTCTGCTTTCCCAGAACAATGCAAGTTAGCAGAGAATGTTCCTCTATGGAGCATCAGCAGCTCTCGTCCCCATCTTTAGCCAAGTCTTGTGACATTGTCCCAAACTTCCTAGGAAAGACCCTGGCGCTGCTTACATCCTTTACCATATGTTCTTTCTCGTTACTGAATGAGCCCCACCGTTCTAGGCCCACGCCATGCAGTTGTGAAGGGGAAAGGCGCAGCTAACCCTCATTTTCCAGGGGGTTTGCAGCCTAGTTGAGAGGCAGATCAGAAACAAACAGTGTGTTCTTTGGGTTTTCTGAGAGTCTGGTGAGCTATGCCCGGAGGTGAATGCTGAAACAGATTTAATCGTGCCATTCAAAGATCTGGGGGAACAGCTGGTGCAGAATCCCGGAGGTAACAGTGATGTGTGGAAGAGCTGCAGTGAGCTTGGAGCAGAAGCGAAGGAGAAAAGGCTTGATCCCAAAGAGCCTGGGGATAAATTGCCTGGCTTTTGTCTGCTCTACCAAGCTCCTAAGATTGTTCCTGCATCCACTTGTTCCTTATTGACTCATAAACACTTTCAACACCCATTTAACGAGCATCTACTTCCTACAGAGAATAAAATGGGCAAAGATTCCTGTCCACATAGAGTGGCTATGCTAGTTGAGAAGGTGGACATTAGAAATCAAGCTACCTGGGGTTGGGGGGCATAGTTCAATCAGTAAAGTGTTTGATCCTGAATTCAGAGTCTCAGCACTTACATTAAAGAAAAAAATGGGCATAGTGCCACATGTCTGTAATCCTGGCACTGGGGAAGTGGAGATGAGGGGATTCCTGTGGCTCACTGGCTAACTCCAGATTTAATGAAAGACTGTCTCAAAGAAGGAAAGGAGAGCAGTTGAGGAGGCCAAGCAACATTGGCCTGGGCCTCCACACCCTCACATGCAAACATAAACCACACACAAAATAAAAATAAACATGTGGACAGAGTTTCATCTCTTGGGGATGCTCTTATTCCATCTTGCTCCTCAGGAACAGACAGTTTGGTCCTAGACTGCCGTTGGCTGCCGCAGGGCTGCTCTGACAGCGCCTCACCTTGCAGGCTGTGGATTTGACTAGACTCGAGTCTTTTCTCACCCTGTGTGCCTGGCCTTGTTCCTTCGCTTCTTCAGTAATGTTTATCAAGCCACCAGTGAGATGGCTCGGGGTAAAAGCTCTTGCTCCCAAGCCTGATGACCTGAGTTCAGTTCCCATAGCCCGCATGGTGGAAGGGGAGAACTGACTCCTGTAAGTTGTCCTCTGACCTACACATGTGCACACACACAAGAAATAAATGTAACACTTTTTGTTTTTGTTTTTATTTAATTATTAGCAAGCTAGGTACTGTCCCAGGTCCTGAGGACAGAGTTCAGAGCAAAGCATTTAAAAATCTTGTTTCTGGGGCTGTGGAGATGGCTTAGTAGTTAAACCACTTGCCATAAAAGCATAAGGATCAGAGTTCGGATTCCCAGAACCCATCTGAATGCCAGTGAGTTGGGAGATCCACCTGTAATTCCAGTCTCTGAAGGCAGAAATAGGACCTCCAGAGCAGTCTGGATAACGAGATTGGCCATATCTGTGAGCTGAGTTTGACTGAGTGGAAGAGAGATGGAGGATCATTCCTATCATCCCGTCTCTACACGCACACGTGTGCCTACACATGTGAAAATGGAAAAAGAAAATCTTGGCATCAGAGAGTGATCTCAGTAAAAACACAGTCAGGAAAGCCGAACGTGGGGTGCATTCAATGTTGGTGATCTGGAGGGAAATGAAGCTAGCTGGGGAGTGTAGGTCTGGGGGACAGGTGGCAGAGACCGCTCAGAGCCTCCATTGAGAAGACAATTGAACAGAGACAGGAAGGAGATGAGGAGAGTGGGGGGGGGGAGTTAATTTTGCCTGCAAAAGCAACAGTCCTGAAACACAGGCCCCGGAGCAGAAATGGAGCCAGCGCAGAGGAAGAACAGCTGCAAGCTTGTGGGGGCCTGTGTTGGTCATGGAAGGACTTTGGGAAGGCAGGGTCTCGAGGTTTTCTGCAAGAAGGGCCTGGCCTGCCCTTCATCCTCCCAACTAAGCAGGATAGCAATACTTCTGAGAGTGTTGGGAATTTTTTTTAATTATTTTTTATTTTCCATGCATTGGTGTTTTTGCTTGCATTTGTCACTATGTGAAGGTGCTGGAACTCCTGGAGCGGCAGTTGCAGTTGTGAGCTTCTGTGTGGGTGCTGGGAACTGAACCTAGGTCCTCTGAAGAGCAGCCAGTGCTCTTAACCACTGAGCTGTTGGGAATCTTGAATGGGACACACTGTGTGAAGCAGCGAGCCCCATATTCTAGATTTGAGTGAATGCCAGTGGCTGGTCTGGAGTCGGGCAGACTGAGAGGCGTGACTAGGAGGCAGGAGGCAGGAGAGGATGGAGCAGGTCACAGCTCCAGTATGCAGCTGTAGGGGCCCCACTTCTGTTTTGGAAAGTAAAATACTGACAGGAAAGAGTGGAGTCTGGAACCCCACCACTTTCCTTCAACCCCACTCATCTCAGTGAACCCCCAGTTCTTAGTGATTTTGGGGGAGGGGGGTAGGGTGTTTTTTTTTTGAGACAGGGTCTCTGTGTAGCTCTGGCTGTCCTGGAACTCAGAGGTCAGCCTGTCTCTGCCTCCTGAGTGCCGGGAGTAAAGGTGTGTGCCACCACTGCCCAGCTGTGCCTCAGTGTTTCTGAGTCTACCCGTCCTTTCTTACTGTTTCAAGGAGAACTTAGAAGAGTCAAATAACAGATGTGACTTGTTAATATTTTCCCCCTGTGTGTGGCATGGTACATGTGTATACTTATATAGGGGCCAGAGGTTGACATGTGTGTCTTCCCCGATTCTGCTCTGCTTTATTGAAGCAAGGGCTCCCACTGGATCTGAAGCACTCAAGTTGGGCTAGTGTAGTTAACCTGCTTGCCATGGAGATCTCTCATCTCTGCTGGTTTTTTTTTTTTTAGTTTATTTTTATTTCATGTGCATTGGTGTTTTGCCTGCATGTAGGTGTCAGATCCCCTGAAACAGGAGTCACAGACATGTGAGCTGCCATGTGGGTGCAAGGAATTGAACCTGGGTCCTCTGGAAGAGCAGCCAGTGCTCCTAACCACTGAGCCATCTCCCCAGCCCTATCTCTACCTTCTTCTTTTTTAAAAAAATATTTATTTATTTATTATGTATACAATATTCTGTCTGTGTGTATGCCTGCAGGCCACAAGAGGGCACCAGACCCCATTACAGATGGTTGTGAGCCACCATGTGGTTGCTAGGAATTGAACTCAGGACCTTTGGAAGAGCAGGCAATGCTCTTAACCTCTGAGCCATCTCTCCAGCCCCCTCTACCTTCTTCTTAAGTACTGGATAACAGAGAACTGTTTTGCCCACCTGACTTACTTTTCTGTGGGTTATGGGGATGCAAATTCTGGTCTTTGGTCTTGCATGCCAAGTGCTCTGTCCACTGAACCATCTCCTCACCCCTGTTAAAACTTGCTGTATTTATGTGGAACTCCGTTTGGTGTGTAGAGTGGGGCAGTCTCTTCCATTATAATTGCATAAACTTTTCCTTGGCACACGGCACCTCAGAAAAGGGGCAGTTTGGGACTGGAGAGATGGATCCACACTAGGAGTGCCTGCTATTCTCGTAGAACCCAACACCCACATGGTGGCTCTCAACCCCCTGGAGCCCAAATCCAGGGAATCTGACATTCTTTTCTGACTTCCACTCAGTCACATAGGCAGTGCACAGACAGATGTGCCTGGAGAAAATAAACAAATATTATTAAAACGGGGCAATTGAAGACTTATGTCATGCTTACTCAGTAAATACTTACTGAACCATCTTTATAGTCTCTTATTATTTGGCAAATATTTATTAATATAGATGTCTACTGCAATAAATTTCCCTTTGAGCACTGTATTACCTACATCTCTTCAGTGTTGGTATGGGTTTTTTTTTCTTTTTTATTGTCTGAGACAGAGTGCTAGGTAGCCCAGGTTGGCCTTGAACATGCTATGCAGCTGAGTCTTGAACTCCTGGTCTTCCTACCTCCTTAAGTGCTGCTGAGATTATGAGCCACAGCACCTGTCTGTGACTTCATTTTCAGTCATTGCAACACATTCTCTGATTCTCTTCATGGATCTCCTAGAGGAGAGAGAGGTGTTGCTCATCTCTACATAGCAACAGATATTTAAGTATCTGTAGCTTGTCCACATCTGCACTGTGGTAGGTGCTAGGGCATAGTGGCAAAGAAAGCAGGCTACTTGCTCCCGTAGTGGAGAGGTCAGACAGTAATAATGCATGGCAAAGTAGCGCATAGTCTGTTGATGGCACTAGCTGTGGTGAAAAGAATAGAGCTGGGTTATGGACTAGCGGAGACAGTGTGAGGATAGAAACCGGAATAGGATGTGTGTATGGGAGGGTATCATTGACTGCTGGGGAAGGATGTCCTGAGGCAAAGAATCCATGGGGTTTGTTGCTTTTTGAGACAGTCTCCTGTATCCCAGGCTGACCTCAAACTCACTACATAGGCAAGGCTAGCCTTGAATCCTCCCTCAGGTTCACAGAAGCTGGGGTTATAGAGCTGCACAACCATGCCTGGCAGAATCTATTGAATAGTAATCCCCCACACCACCTCATATAAATAGCCCAGAGAGCACCCCTAAAGGAGACTCCTGTTGCCATAATTCTACCCTGCACCTCCCTCCACTTTCAGGGTGCAGCTCCTGGGAAAGCCTCTCCCATAGGGGATGGCATCTCTGGCTGTCACACCAGCTGCTCTACTGCATGCTTGCTCTGGGGACCTCGAGGAATCACTAGATCCTTGGTGCTTCAGTGCGTTGAGTGGAGAGAGAAGCGTCTCTATATGAGTTGTAACAAGGATCTCATGAGTTAAGAAGTGGAAGAGCTTAGAACAGGCCAGTCTGTGTGAGACACCCCAGCTGCAGCAGCTGTCACTAAGGTCCTCATGGAGGCACGCAAAGGTCCCCTCCCCCTTCCGTAGCACTCTGAATTGGTCTCTGCCTCCTGCATCCTTCCACTGTGTGTCTTCCTCCTTGCTGGCAGCATCCCACACTTAGGCTCTGTGTGCAGTCTTCTGGTTGCCATGCCTTTGCTTCTCCTGGAGCTTAGACTGAATGGAAGGGCTGTAAAGGGCATGGGTGTTGACTCTTGTTCAAGAACACTCAGAGCTGGATACTAAAAATATCTATTTCTGTGTAGAGGTGGGGTGGAGACACCTTTTACCTGTGTGTGCCAAGAGCCAGCCAGGCAGACTAAATAAAGGTCCTGGGCCTTGGAGGGACATCCTGTCCCCTGCGGCTCCTTAGGTTTTGAGTATAGTATGATTAGAAAGATGAGGACTGGGCCAGACTGCCGAACTATAGGGGCAAGGGATGATGGGCAAAAATGGGCCTTTCTCCCAGCGACTCTTCAGAAGCTCAGTAGGGCTGCTGTGTGTGTGAACACAGGAGTGAACTCCGGAAGCTGAGGTTCCAGTGAGGAGAGAGGACAGACAGCAGGAATGGAAAACAGACAGAAAAAGTTGTACAAAAAGTGCCTGCTTGCCTGTTGGGAGGAGCTAAGAGAAACTGTAATCCAAGGCCCAGGTGTGTGATGTCATCACTTATGGCATCCAGCCCTAGGGTGGAATGCACACTACTGATAATGTTGCATTTCACCCTCAGCTCCCCATGTAGAAGTTCAGGCCTCGTTTTCAATGTGGAGAAAGCATGGACCCAGCAAAGATCAGATCAGAACCCAGGTCTATGCAGGCACTCTTGCCGTAGCTACCTTGACCTAGGCTAGTGGATTTTTCTTTCTGCCTTGCAATCAAAGAATATTCCCTCTCCCTCAGTATTGAGCTCTTACCCAGTTTTCTTGGCTTCCCCTTTTCTACTACTGGAATAGATACTATCAATTCATGGAAGGCATTACCATATACTGAGTGTTTACAAGGCGCCAGGAGAGCCTTCCACATGCTAATGTTAAACTGTTGGATCTTCACAACAGCCCAGTGCTTGATAGATCCTGCTGCCCTAGACCTTCTCCTTCCTCCCTGCCTCCCTCCCCTACCACAAGATTACCTCAAACTTGGAGCAATCTCAGCCTCCTGAGTGCTTGGTTTGCCCTTAGTCACAATGGTTGTGGAGGCAGAGGTTCTGTCATTTGCCCGTGGTTACACAGCTAGAAAGTGACGACGGGTTGTGGGGGGGCGGGCAGTGGTGGCCCATGCCTTTAATTCCAACACTTGAATCTCTCAAGTTTGAGGCCAGCCTGGTCTACAGAGTGAGTTCCAGGACAGCCAGAGCTACCCAGAGAAACCCTGTCTTGGGGGGAAAAAAAGAAAAGAAAGGGACTGGACTTAGGTTTGAAGTTACCATTTTGGTTCCTGAAGCCCCTGTCTTAACTACTTAGCTGGGTGCTATTTTTATCCTCATTTTATAGTGGCAAACCTGGAAAAATCAAGACCAGAAGAAAGTATGTGGAAGGAGTGGAGGAATCTCAGTGTAGAGCCAGGAGAGGGTTTTAAACCTCCCCGTCCCCCTCCATCACCAAGGTCCTGGGAGAATTAGTTTTGGGGAGAAAGCAAGTGCCTACGGGTGCATAGAGAAGACAGTCTGAGAGTGGATAGGGAGATGCGTGAAGATCCAGGAAAAGATGGGGGTAAGGTTGGGAGGAGGCTAGGAATGACCCTGGATTCACACAGGTAAGAGGGAAACTTGTATGGGCAGATTGTCAGGTGATCTAAGAGATTGGCGCTGGTGCAGGAGCATGGACGTAGTTCCCTTTGCCTGCTACTCACGGGCTCCCCTTGCTCAGTCCCCATCCTCTTCTTCACAGGGTCTCCCTTCTCTCCACCGGCCAGAGATGGAGGCAAACCAGGCAGGCAGCGGTGCCGGGGGTGGCGGGAGCAGCGGCATCGGGGGCGAGGACGGGGTCCACTTCCAGAGTTACCCCTTTGACTTCTTGGAATTCCTCAACCACCAGCGCTTTGAGCCCATGGAACTGTACGGGGAGCATGCCAAAGCAGTGGCGGCCCTGCCCTGCACCCCGGGGCCCCCGCCCCAGCCCCCACCCCAGCCTCCTCCGCCTCAGTATGACTACCCACCCCAGTCCACTTTCAAACCCAAGGCGGAGGCTCCTTCCTCATCCTCCTCGTCATCATCTTCCTCCTCATCTTCATCTTCTTCATCTTCTTCATCCTCTTCCCAAGCCAAGAAGCTGGATCCGCCATTGCCGCCCACCTTCGGGGCGCCACCCCCTCCGCTCTTTGATGCTGCCTTCCCTGCCCCGCAATGGGGAATTGTCGACCTCTCTGGGCACCAGCACCTGTTCGGAAACCTGAAACGAGGAGGGCCCACACCTGGGCCTGGGGTGGCATCAGGTCTTGGCACTCCCACCGGGACCCCTGGGCCACTTCCCACACCCACGCAGACCCCACCTGGGCCCACGGTCGGGGCGGCCTGCGACCCAACCAAGGACGATAAGGGCTACTTTCGAAGGCTGAAGTACCTGATGGAGCGTCGCTTCCCATGCGGTGTGTGCCAGAAGTCCTTCAAACAGTCCTCACATCTGGTCCAGCACATGCTGGTGCACTCTGGGGAGCGACCATACGAATGCGGCGTCTGTGGCCGCACCTACAACCACGTATCCAGTCTCATACGCCACCGACGCTGCCACAAGGATGTGCCACCAACTGCTGGTGGTCCGCCGCAGCCCGGGACACCGCTTCCTTCGCTGGGCCTCCCAGTACCCACTTCCAGTGCCACAGCCACCTCCGCTCCTGCTGCAGTGTCCTCCGGCCCCTCAGCTACACCTGCAGCACCTGCCACCTCCACGGATGGGAATGCCACCCCCGCTGTCGCTGCCGCTGCCACTGCCGCAGCTGGAGTGGCCTTGCCTCCCCCCCCCACTACTGGCGGGGAGGGCCCATTTGCCTGCCCCCTCTGCTGGAAGGTCTTCAAGAAGCCCAGCCACCTCCACCAGCACCAGATCATCCACACGGGTGAGAAGCCCTTCTCCTGCTCCGTGTGCAGCAAAAGCTTCAACCGGAGGGAGAGCCTCAAGCGGCATGTGAAAACGCACTCGGCCGACCTGCTGCGCCTGCCCTGTGGCATCTGTGGCAAGGCCTTTCGCGATGCCTCCTACCTCCTCAAGCACCAGGCGGCTCATGCCGGGGCCGGGGCCCCGCGGCCGGTCTACCCTTGCGACCTGTGCGGGAAGACCTACTCAGCGCCCCAGAGCCTGTTGCGGCACAAGGCTGCCCACGCGCCACCTGTGGCCACCGAACCGGCCAAGGATGGGGCGACCCCAGTCCCGCAACCACCTCCCACCTTCCCCCCTGGCCCCTACCTCCTGCCGGCGGACCCGACCACCACCGACGAGAAAGCCACAGCTGCTGCAGCGGCGGTGGTGTATGGGGCGGTGCCTGTGCCACTTCTCGGCGCGCATCCGCTGCTGCTCGGTGGTGCCGGGAACGGCGGTGCTGGTGGCGCGGGCACGGGCGTCCCAGGCAAGACGTTTTGCTGCGGCATCTGCGGGCGGGCGTTCGGGCGCCGCGAGACCTTGAAGCGCCACGAGCGCATCCATACCGGCGAGAAGCCCCACCAGTGCCCAGTGTGCGGGAAGCGCTTCCGCGAGTCCTTCCACCTGAGCAAGCACCATGTGGTGCACACCCGGGAACGGCCCTACAAGTGTGAGCTGTGCGGCAAGGTCTTCGGCTACCCGCAGAGCCTCACGCGTCATCGCCAGGTGCACCGGCTCCAGCTGCCCTGCGCCCTGGCCGGAGCCACAGGCCTCACCGGGGGCCAGGGGACCACGGGGGCCTGTGGACCCGGGGCTGCAGGTGCTTCGGGCGGGCCCGCCGACGGCCTGAGCTACGCCTGCTCGGACTGTGGGGAGCATTTCCCGGATCTCTTTCACGTCATGAGCCACAAAGAAGCCCACATGTCAGAGAAGCCATACGGCTGTGATTCCTGCGGCAAGACCTTCGGCTTCATCGAGAATCTCATGTGGCACAAGCTGGTCCACCAGGCTGCCCCGGAACGTCTTCTGCCGCCAACTCCCAGTGGCCCCCAGTCCTCTGATAGTTCTAGCGGCGGCACCGACGCATCCAGCGTGCTGGACAACGGACTGGCCGGAGAGGTGGGGGCGGCGGTGGCAGCGCTGGCCGGCGTGTCTGGGGGCAGCGAGGATTCGGGTGGGACGACTGTGACCGGAGGGGGTGGCGGGGCCACTTCAGGCGCTGAGCGCTTCAGCTGTGCCACGTGCGGCCAAAGCTTCAAGCATTTCCTGGGTCTGGTGACTCACAAGTATGTGCACCTGGTGCGCCGGACCCTGGGTTGTGGCCTCTGCGGCCAGAGCTTTGCCGGCGCGTACGACCTGCTTCTGCACCGCCGAAGCCACCGACAGAAGCGGGGCTTCCGCTGCCCGGTGTGCGGGAAGCGCTTCTGGGAGGCGGCCCTGCTGATGCGCCACCAGCGCTGTCATACAGAGCAGCGGCCCTACCGGTGCGGCGTGTGCGGCAGAGGCTTCCTGCGTTCCTGGTACCTGCGGCAGCACCGAGTAGTGCACACGGGCGAGCGCGCCTTCAAGTGCGGAGTGTGCGCCAAGCGCTTTGCGCAGTCCTCCAGCCTGGCCGAGCATAGGCGACTGCACGCCGTGGCCCGGCCTCAGCGCTGTGGCGCCTGCGGCAAGACCTTCCGCTACCGCTCCAACCTGCTGGAGCACCAGCGGCTGCACCTGGGCGAGCGCGCCTACCGTTGCGAGCACTGCGGCAAGGGCTTCTTCTACCTGAGCTCGGTGTTGCGCCACCAGCGTGCCCACGAGCCCCCACGGCCCGAGCTGCGCTGTCCCGCCTGTCTCAAGGCCTTTAAGGATCCTGGCTACTTCCGGAAGCACCTGGCTGCCCATCAGGGAGGTAGGCCCTTCCGCTGCTCCTCCTGCGGTGAGGGCTTTGCCAACACCTATGGTCTGAAGAAACATCGCCTGGTGCACAAGGCTGAGGGTCTTGGGGGGCCCGGAACAGGGGGAAGCGCCTTGCCCGGGAAGGATCCCTGACCAGGGAATTTCAATGCACCACTCCACTCCAATCAGATGTTCCCTTCTGGACCCCCCCCCATCTTCCTGGGGCTGCTGGTCAGACTCTCCCCACCCCTCCTTATTGTTACCCATTCTAAAGAACTACAGATGGTCTAGCTTCCTTCTGACCCCATGCCCTGCCCTATAAACTGAAGGTTAAATTACTACAATGCCAGGCCATTCTGGCCCTTCCTTCTTCGTCCGTCAGACACTGAACTTGATCCTCCGTCCAGCCTTCTTTTGTAAACCTCATCTGCTACCCAGCCGCGTTTTGGCTCCCGTGAACTCCGCGGTGAAGATGGGCCTGAATTACCGGCCGCCTCTACTTCCTTTGGGACCTGGCTGGACAGTGGACTATGAACAGAGTTGAGGGGGCACAGGTTGGGGGTCTGGGTGCTCTTGGGTTGGGGGGAGGGGGGAACAGACGCGGCTTGTACAGAGCAGAGAACAATAAATCGTATCAACAGGGCCGCTGGGGTCTGTCCTTGCTGTTCCTGGGGGATTCTGTAACTGGATGGACACACAGCACCTCTGTCGTGTTTCACCTGGGTTGAGTGAGGATTTGCCATGTCCCCGGCGTTAGCCTACGAACTGGGCAAGTGGCGAGAGTGAGACAGGTAAGTCCATCTCCCGGGAACTGATTTGAGATTCCGAGACTCCTCTTCAGGATGTTTTCAGCCACCATGACCGGAAGTCTCCTGTCTGCTAAGTCCTGGCCTGGGTACTAGGGAAACATGAATTGATTGGACATGACATTCACACTCCAGTAGCTGGGAGAGCACGCCTGTGGAATTCACCACTGCCTGCAGACTTTCTGGAGACAGGATCTCATGGATTCTAGGCTGGCTATGGACTTGCTTTGGAGGTAAGGATAGCCTTGATTTTTGTTTTGTTTTGGAGACAGGGTGGGTCTCTCTCTGTAATTCTTGGCTGTTCCAGAACTCTATAGACCAGACTGGCCTTGAACTCACAGAATCTACCTGCCTTTACCTCCCTGGTACTGACATTAAAGGTGTGCACCACCACAGCTGGCTAATCTGGAACTTTCTTTTTTTAGTTAGATTTTTTTTTTAACTTAAAGAAATTTTATGTATGGTTATTTTGCCTTCATGTATGTTTGTGCACCACTTGACGCCTGGTGCCCCTGGAGGCTGAAAGAGGCCATTGGGTCATCTGGCCCTAGAGTAACAGATGGTTGTGACACGATGTGTGTGTTGCGATTGAAACTCTGCTCCTCTGGAGGAGCAGTTAGTCCCCTTAACTGCCGAGCCATTCCTTCAGTCCCAAACTTGTAATTTTATTTTTTTAAAGATTTATTTATCTATTATACATACAGTATTCTGCCTGCATGTATGCCTGCAGGCCAGAAGAGGGCACCAGATCTCATTCTAGATGGTTGTGAGCCACCATGTGGTAGCTGGGAATTGAACTCAGGACTTCTGGAAGAGCAGCCATTTCTCCAGCCTTGGAATTTTATTTTTATTCTCAGTTTCATACATATATGTATATGTGTACACACACATACAACTTTGGTTCTATCTATAAAGCCCTCAGTATGCTCATCCCTCTCACCCTCCTGCTGAACTCTTCCTTTCCAGCAGGCTCTTCTACTTCCATGTCCTTTATTCTCTTGGTGCCCCATTGTGTTTAGTCAGGGTTGCTTGCATAAATGGATTGGGCAGTTGATTTACCTGAGCAAGGGCAGCTTACCAACAGCTACATCACTGGACTACAACCCCTTTTCCTTGGGCAACCATTACTACCTACAGCTTCTCAGAGAGGAGTGGGGCCTTAAGAGCCTCTTCCTCATGACAACAAACTTCTGACCCCTCTGCTTCCACTTCCGGAGTGCTGGGAAGATGGGCATATGCTGTTATGCCTGGTTTCTGTGGTGCTGGCAATTGAACCCAGGATATCATGCATGCTAGGCAAGCACTCTAACTACACCCCAGCCCCACTGCCCTCTTCTGATAGTGTGCACATTCCATTAGCATCCAGTTCCCCTGCTTCTTTTGAATCTGAACACCGAGCCTGACTGTCAGTTGCTATAGTTCCCCTCCCCTTGAATCTGGCCACTTACCCATACTGCCGATGTGTTGGTGGTCCCTTCCCATAGCAATCGGGAGTTTCTGTTTAGTGGCAAGGATCCGTGTGAGAAAGTGGAGAAGGCAGGACCTGACGTGCACTGCTTTAGTCATTCAGACATGAGAGCTTTGATGAACAGATGATGGAAAGAAGTGCCCGGACCCCAAGGGTGCTTAACTGCTCAATGTGGGAGACTGATCAGAAACAAGGTGAGGAAAGGTAGCTTAAGGAACCCTGTAGGTCTCTGGCTTCAGCTGAGGAGCTAGTGAGACAGATGGGAAGCAGGGTCCTCTCTTTAGAGGGAATGGTGAGTTGTATTATGCATCATCTGAGAGTCATCTCTTGGGGATGCTGGATGAACAAGGACTGAGATAGCAACACATCTTCTCCATGAGAAAATCAAGGCCTCTGCTGAGTAAGAGCATCAACCTCCAACATCCCTTCAGTGCACAAAACTACAATACAGCCACACAGTCAAAGCCTAGTCCCTCCCCATTCCAGATAATAAGAAAATAGATGCGTTGGGCAGTGGTGGCGCATGCCTTTAATCCCAGCACTCAGGAGACAGAGGCAGGTGGATCTCTGTGAGTTCGAGGCCAGCTTGGTCTACAAGAGCTAGTTGCAGGACAGGCTCCAAAGCTACAGAGAAACTGTCTCGGAAAGAAAAAGAAAAGAAAACAGAGGCATAGTGAGGCCCTGATCTCCCAACTACCCAGAGAACTGGAATACAAGACTGACAGAGAAGCATTTCAGAAAGTCTTTTAATAGGAACAGACTCGAAGGCCCCACTCCCACCCTAAATTCCAGTTCCCAAGTCCTTTCAGCCCTTTTCCACAGTGTTTCCTCTTACTCTTTACACCCAGGACCAGCCCACCAAGGTTGTGAGCAGCAGCCAACCCTTCCTCTGAATTGCCCAGAACTAAGCAGGAAGCTGTTTACCTCACAGTGGAGGAAAACAGAGCAATCTGAAACTTGTCTGTAGACACGGGAGACACAGGCTCTAAGCCTAAAGCTTAAGGGGATACTGGGTGATTGCTTGCTTGCTTGCTTGCTTGCAGTGTGTGCTCTCGGATGCTTCCAGACGAGTCTAGTGGCTAAGGAAAGTACACTCTGGGGTAAGATGGTGAGTGAGCAGAACTTAGAGTTCATTTCTATGGGCAGGCTCATCCTAGAGATTTATGGACACCCACCTGCGGTTTAGGTACTCTCTGGTCCCTTTAGAGATGACCTGTGGGCATCTTCTGCCTAGGGAGGGTAGGCAACCCAGTTGAGGTAGGTAAGAGATTTCATATTAGTCCACCTTAGGGCAACCCCTGCATGGTCCAGAGGCTGTTCAGGATTGGACCAGGGTGGTGGTTGTGGATTATTAAGTCTTGCTTTGCAGCCTGGGCTGGTCTAGACCTCATAATCCTCCTGCCTCAGCCTCTAGAATACTGGACTTAGACGAATGGGCCATGCTCAGCTCTCTCTGTGTTTTTACATTCAGCTGGGCATCTACAGAACTGCAGGTACCTCTTTCCTGAGTCTCAAGTGTAGCGTGGGTTTCTGGGAGACCAGAACCTGGTTCCTTCTCAGCTCTCCAATCCCTGCTGCTCATTATTTCTCCTTGGCTTTTGCTTCTATTTGTCCACCCACTTCCCCTATAATAGGCTTCCTACTCCCCAGCCTACTGGCCAACCTCCACTTTCACCTCCACAGGCTCTCTGCACCCTTCTTCAGTAGTGTTCTCTGTCCCGTGCTTACTCCCTGAATCCTGGACCACCCAAGATGGTCCTAGTTGACCTCCAGACTCTCCCACCCCAGGCCCTGGCCCGTGGAAGTGGGTGCGTTGGTGTTTGCGAAAATTTGAGGAGTTATTGAAAGTGCGCGCACAGAGCGTGCAGCGGAAGGGGCGCTCGCCAGTGTGGATGCGGGCGTGGCCGCTCAGCACAGAGGACTGTGTGAAGCCCTTGCCACAGACGGCGCAGTGGTAGGGCCTCTCCCCCGTGTGCACACGCTCATGATCTCGCATGTCTGAGGAGCGGCGGAAGGGCTTGGTACAGAACCGGCAGGCGAAAGGCTTGCCTACTGCAGCCCCTGCAGCTGCCGCAGCCTTCACCACCTCCGACCTCTCCTGGGCCATCCCTGGGTTCGGCTGTCCAGTTGATGCTGCCGGTGGAAGCCTTCGAGAGGTGCCTGCTTCCACCCCGTGACGGTGCTGGTGCCGGAGCAGAGGTGCCAAGGTCTTAAAAGCTCGTGGGCAGAGTGGGCAGCGGTAAGGCCGCTCTCCCGTATGCAAGCTGTAGTGGGCACGCAGGCTAGCAGGACCTGGGCAGCGGTGGCCACACACGTGACAACGGCTTGGGTCCCCACCCTGTCCAACCCCCTCCACGCCTGCCAGGTGGCCATGTTCGTGAAACAGCAGCTCTGAGACCAGATGGAAGGCAGCGGGACACAGGGCACAGTGAAAAGATCCGGGCTCTGGGGGCTCAGGTACCAATGTAGTATCTGTAATTTTTACCACCTGGATCTCGATGAGGTCACTTGGAGGTGTGGCAGAGCGGCCACCATCAGGCACCAGGACCTGGAGAGCAGAAGAAGAAACGGGAGGCTGTGGACCCTTCTCAGAGAACATTCTTTAATGTGCTTCCACTTAAACCACTTGCTCAGGCCGGCGAAATGGCTCAGCACGTAGACACTTGCCAAATCTAACAAACTGAGTAGGATCCCTGGAACCCGCAGGGTAGAAATCAGAACTGACTCTCCCAAGTTGCCCTTTGACCTCCACATGCCTGTGCCATGGCACACATGCACACCCTTTCCTCAAATATATAAATTAAATTAAAACTTTTAAATAAAATATTTGCTCCTCTGTAGTCCACTGGATCCTTACTTTATGATTTATTATTTACTTATTTTGAGCCAGGAGTTTCACTATTAGCCTTAGCCGAACGGGGACTTGTTGTGTAGATCAGGCTGGTCTAGAACTCAGAGACACTGCCTGCCTCTGTCTTCCCAAGTGCTGAGATTAAAGGCGTGTACCACCAGGCCTGAGTTTTTCTTTTTATGTGTATGTGTTAGTGCCTTCATGTGTGTATGTTCACCACATGTGTGCTGTGCCTATGGAGTCCAGAAGTGAGGGTCAGATCCCCCAGAAGTGGAGTTACAGATGGTTATGAGCCTCCAAATGGATGCTGGGAAGTGAACCTCTAAAAGAGCAGCCAGTGCTCTTCACTGCTGAGCCATCTCGCCAGCCCTGGCTGTTGGTTTCTCGACTCTGTTATCCATGATCCAGAATTCTTGCTGTATTCGGTTGGCATTT